GAAATAGCTGAGTGATTAGCTTGTGACTGGTCACAGAAATGGCTATGTTAAAGTCAAAGCCTACACATCCACAGAAGTACCTGGTACAAATCAAAAAGGATAATTTAGCATTGAAATAGCTGAGTGATTAGCTTGTGACTGGTCAGAAATGGCTATGTTAAAGTCAAAGCCTACATATCCACAGAGGCACCTGGTACAAATCAAACAGGAGAATTTAGCATTGAAATAGCTGAGTGATTAGCTTGTGACTGGTCACAGAAATGGCTATGTTAAAGTCAAAGCCTACATATCAACAGAGGAACCTAGTACAAATCAAACAGGATTATTTACCATTGAAATAGCTGAGTGATTAGCTTGTGACTGGTCACAGAAATGGCTATGTTAAAGTCAAAGCCTACACATCCACAGAGGCACCTGGTACAAATCAAACAGGAGAATTTAGCATTGAAATAGCTGAGTGATTAGCTTGTGACTGGTCACAGAAATGGCTATGTTAAAGTCAAAGCCTACACATCCACAGAGGCACCTAGTACAAATCAAACAGGAGAATTTAGCATTGAAATAGCTGAGTGATTAGCTTGTGACTGGTCACAGAAATGGCTATGTTAAAGTCAAAGCCTACACATCCACAGAGGCACCTGGTACAAATCAAACAGGAGAATTTAGCATTGAAATAGCTGAGTGATTAGCTTGTGACTGGTCACAGAAATGGCTATGTTAAAGTCAAAGCCTACACATCCACAGAGGCACCTGGTACAAATCAAACACTGGCAGTGAAGGTCCAGTGAAGGTCCCATATTGGAGCTCCTCACCCTGAGCTATGAATGGTTTGATGGTGGGCATTGGCCTTGTTGCCAGGGCCGGATCAAGGCACAGCGGCTATTATGGCTGCAGCTCAGGGCCCTTCGCCAGCCGGAGGTACCTCCAGAGATGACGTGAAAAGCGATTTCGTTTGTGGGATGCTGAATTTGTATTTTGCTGTTGTTAGCCTTGTCAAAAAATAATTTAGATTTTTCTTTAGCTTTGTATTTTTTTGAAAAATATTACTGGGGAGTGGTGGGGGTGGGCTCACAGTACCTGTAGCCCTGGGGGCCTACGGAATCTTAATCATGGCCCTGCTTGTGCTGTTCGCGTTTTGGGGTTCTCTGTTGCGACACCGGTGGTGAGACTCGGCCATGAATAAAGGCTGACGTCTCTGCTATAGGTCAAACGGTGTCAAAGACAATGCACACCTACATTTAGTTCTTGAACATTCTCCCGAGTGCAGGAATTCGTATTCCCCGGTTCTTTTCGGTAAGGTCACGTGGATAGAAAACAAACCAACCAAAAATTAATCTAAAAATAATAATAAATTTAGAATAAAAAAATCTAAAAAAAATCTTTAAAAAAATCAAATTTTTTTTTTAAAATAATGAAACCAACAACGCATGCCGGCAAAACGTCGTAGCTACCGCCGCCCGTTCCGCCCGTCCCCGCCCGGCAGGACCACTTCGCGTCGGTGTGTCGCTGCCACGAGTTCCTGAAGCTCTCACACAGGGGAGTCCACCGGCTGCTCGCCAGCGACGAGCTCAACGTGAGCGGCGAGCCGCGGGTTCTCGACGCCCTGCTCGCCTGGGTGCGTCACGACCCGGCCGGGCGGCGCGCGGCCCTGCCCGGCCTGCTCGCTCACGTGCGGCTGCCCCTGCTGCCCCCGCAGGTTGGCGGGGGGTGGGGGGGTGGACGCATCGCGGGTGAAGCGTGGCCGGAGCCGGAGGATTGCGTGAACGGTCGCGTGTGGTGTCGGGAGGACTGTGGGTGGCCGTGGTTGATGGTGGTGAGGATGGTGATGATGATGATGGTGGTGAATGTGATGCTGCTGATGATGATGGTGAAGATGATGGTGGTGGTGGTGGTGAATGTGATGCTGATGGTGAAGATGATGATGATGGTGAAGATGATGCTGATGATTGTTATGCTGATTATGCTGAAGACGATGCTGATGATGGTGAAGATGACGATGATGCTGATGATGGTGAAGGCGATGTTGAAGATGACGATGATGCCGATGATGGTTAAGATGATGATGATGTTGAAGAGTGTGTTGATGGTGGTGAGGATGATGATGGCGGTGGTAGTGAATGTGATGCTGATGATGAATGTGAAGATGATGATGATGGTGAAGATGATGCTGAAGACGATGCTGCTGATGATGACGATGATGCTGATGATGGTGAAGATGATGCTGATGATGGTGAAGACGATGTTGAAGATGACGATGATGCTGATGATGGTGAAGATGATGATGATGTTGAAGAGTGTGTTGATGGTGGTGAGGATGATGGCGGTGGTAGTGAATGTGATGCTGATGATGAATGTGAAGATGATGGTGAAGATGATGCTGAAGACGATGCTGATGATGACGATGATGCTGATGATGGTGAAGATGATGCTGATGATGGTGAAGATGATGTTGAAGATGACGATGATGCTGATGATGGTGAAGATGATGATGATGTTGAAGAGTGTGTTGATGGTGGTGAGGATGATGATGGCGGTGGTAGTGAATGTGATGCTGATGATGAATGTGAAGATGATGATGATGGTGAAGATGATGCTGAAGACGATGCTGATGATGATGCTGATGATGGTGAAGATGATGCTGATGATGGTGAAGACGATGATGCTGATGATTGTGAAGACGATGCTGATGATGGTGAAGATGATGATGATGATGGTGAAGATGATGATGATGATGATGTTGAAGAGTGTGTTGATGGTGGTGAGGATGATGGCGGTGGTAGTGAATGTGATGCTGATGATGAATGTGAAGATGATGATGATGGTGAAGATGATGCTGATGATTGTTATGCTGATGATGCTGAAGACGATGCTGATGATGGTGATGACGATGATGCTGATGATGGTGAAGACGATGATGCTGATGATTGTGAAGACGATGCTGATGATGATTGTGAAGACGATGCTGATGATGGTGAAGATGACGATGATGCTGATGATGGTGAAGATGACGATGATGCTGATGATGGTGAAGATGATGATGTTGAAGAGTGTGTTGATGGTGATGAGGATGATGATGATGGTGGTGGTGAATGTGATGCTGATGATGAATGTGAATATGATGATGATGCTGATGATGGTGAAGATGATGCTGAAGACGATGCTGATGATGGTGATGACGATGATGCTGATGATGTTGAAGATGATGCTGATGATGGTGAAGACGATGATGCTGATTATGGTGAAGATGATGCTGATGATGTTGAAGACGATGATGCTGATGATGGTGAAGATGACGATGCTGATGATATTGAAGATGATGCTGATGATGGTGAAGATGACGATGATGCTGATGACGGTGAAGATGATGACGATGACGTTGAAGACGATGATGCTGATGATGATGATGGTGAAGACGACGATGCTGACGGAGGTCGTCACGCGTTGTGTGTGGGCCAGCTCCTGGCCGACCTGGAGTTGAATCCGCTCTTCCGCGAGGACATCGATTGCCAGCGGCTGCTTTTGGAGGCCATGGCGTGCCACCTGCTGCCTGAGAGCCGCGCCCTCCTGCATAGCCCCCGTCTCAGACCACGCAAGTCCACGGTGGGACTCCTGTACGCCGTGGGGGGAGTGGATGCCGTCGAAGGTGCGCGAGTGTTTGTGAGAGTGTTTGTGTGTGAGTGACGGTGTGTGTGTGTGTGAGAGTGTGTTTGTGTGAGAGTGTTTGTGAGAGTGTGTGTGTGTGAGAGTGTGTGTGTGAGAGTGTTTGTGAGAGTGTTTGTGTGTGAGTGTGTGTGAGAGTGTGTGTGAGTGTGTGAGTGTGTGTGAGAGTGTGTGTATGTGTGAGAGTGTGTGTGTGAGAGTGTTTGTGAGAGTGTTTGTGTGTGTGAGAGTGTTTGTGTGAGTGTGTGAGTGAAGGTGTGAGTCTGTGCGTGAGAGTGTGAGTGTTTGTGAGAGTGTGTGTGTGTGAGTGAGGGTGTGAGTGTGTGCGTGAGAGTGTGAGTGTTTGTGAGAGTGTGAGAGTGGGTGTATGAGAGTGTTTGTGTGTGAGAGTGTTTGTGTGAGTGTGAGGGTGTGTTTGTGTGTGTGTGTGAGTGAGGGTGTGAGTGTGTGCGTGAGAGTGTGAGTGTTTGTGAGAGTGTGTGTGTGAGAGTGTTTGTGAGTGTTTGTGAGAGTGTGAGTAAGAGTGTTTGAGTGTGAGAGTGTTTGTGAGTGTGTGTGAAAGTGGGTGTGTGAGAGTGTTTGTGAGAGTGTGTGTGAGTGTGTGTGTGTGTTTGTGAGAGTGTTTGTGAGAGTGTTTGTGTGTGAGAGTGTGTGTGTGTGTGAGTGTGTGTGCGTGAGTGTGTGAGAGTGTTTGTGAGAGTGTTTGTGAGAGTGTGTGTGTCTCTGTGTGTGTGAGAGTGTGAGAGTGTTTGTGAGTGTGTGTGAGAGTGTGTGTGTGAGAGTGTGTGTGTGAGTGTGTGAGTGAGTGTGTGTGCGTGAGAGTGTGTGTGAGTGTATGTGTGAGAGTGTTTGTGAGTGTTTGTGAGAGTGTTTGTGAGAGTGAGTGTGTGTGAGATCGTGTGCGTGAGTGTGTGAGAGTGTTTGTGAGAGTGTGTGTGAGTGTGTGTGAGAGTGAGTGTGTGTGAGATTGTGTGCGTGAGTGTGTGAGAGTGTTTGTGAGAGTGTGTGTGAGTGTGTGAGAGTGTGTGTGTGAGAGTGTTTGTGAGAGTGTTTGTGAGTGTGTGTGAGAGTGTTTGTGAGAGTGTGTGTGAGTGTGTGTGAGTGTGTGTGTGTGTGTCACTGTGTGTGGGGAGCGGTAGTGTAGCGGTTAGCGCGCTGCGCTATGAACCCGGTGACCCGGGTTCGATTCCCGCTCACGACCAACACCAGTGACAATTATTTGAACCGGGCTTTGGCCTCCACTAGGTCGACTCAGCCTCAAATGAGTACCTGGTGTGGTATGTAAACATCGCCACTGGGGAGACAAAGGCGGTCGGGCGTGGTGCTGGCCACCCACCACCTCGTGTACCGTTCCGGCCTTCATAGGTGCTGCTCGCTAACAGCACTTGCCCCTACAGTCTGTTAAGGCTATACGGGGGATCTTTGTCTTTGTTGTGGGGAGCGGCGGGGTAACGGTTAGCGCTACGCTGCGCTACGAACCTGGCGACCCGAGTTCAATTCCCGCTCATGGCCAACACCACCGGTGAAGATTACCTGAACCGGTCCTGGGCCTCCCCTGGGTCGACTCAGCCTCAAATGAGTACCTGGTGCGGTGTGTAAACATCGCCACTGGGGAGACAAAGGCGACCGGGCGTGGTGCTGGCCACCCACCCCCTCGTGTGCCGTGCCGGCCTTCATAGGTGCTGCTCGCTAACAGCACTTGCCCCAGCAGTCTGTTACAGGCTACACGGGGGATCTTTGTCTTATCTGCGTGTTCACCTCTGCTGGGCAGTTCTTCGTGCTTTCGGAGTCTCTGCTCACGATCATTAAGGGCCATCATAAGGGTGGTCTAGCTACGTGGCAACGAGTCAGAGCCATTCCCTGTTCACCTTGAGGTGCGACAGGGATGTCCTCTGGCTCCCACATTATTAAACATCATCTTTGACCACGTAGTTCGAGAAGCTTTCCATGGCTGTACCACAGGAATCTCCATCTGGTACAGATACAATGGGAGGCTGGTCGATGCCCGGATGCGGTCAAGGGATGGCTCCCTATTCATCGTCCACGTTATGTATGCCGATGATCTGGTAATTGCCGATCACTCAGAGGAGGAGTTGCTGCTGAACCTGGAGCTTGCCACTAAGAGGTGGGGACTTACCATCAGCCCCACCAAAACTAAGCACCTGCCTGGGTATTTTATGCCATCAAACACTCCACCCCCACAACTCCCCATTGGTGATGGGGCAGCTGTGGAGAGAGTGGAGTGTTTCCCATACCTGGGCAGTGTGCTTATGACCGGCTCTGGTTTGACAGCAGAGGTCTCACTCCGAATCAGTCGAGCGGCAATATCTTTTCATCGGTTGCGTAACGCTGTGTGGAAGCTACCTGGTCTGTCGCTCCACACGAAGCTTCGGGTCTTCTCGACCACGGTCATTCCCTCCCTTCTCTACGCTTGCGAAACGTGGACCCCCCTAATGGAGCATCTTCGTCAGTTATAAACATTCAAGCTGGCATGCCTACGATCCATCCTCGGTTTAACCTGCAGGCTGGATTGTGTGAGGAGCTCACAAATCCTTGAGAGATCTGGACCAGATTCCCATCAGTGAGCTCCTCTGGCAGGCGAGGCTGCATTGGCTGGGGCCTGTAGCTCGCATGCCGAGCCACCGCATGCCCAAGCAGCTTCTGTTTGGCTGCATAGAGGGGGCTAAACGGGCTGGAGAAGAGATGGAGCTGATGTGGTACAAGAGGATATGTAGGTGAGTGGACTTGCCGATGACCGGTACCAGCGGTGTCAAGATTGGAGGAGGCTCGTGAAGGACGCTGCTGCTCCTGGGCAGTTGGAGGCAGTCGCCCTCCAGTCACAATGGAGGGCAGAGGAGCGACGCTCACAACAATGAGCAGAGCGCTGGGCGGATAAAATGCAGCAAGTTGGCACAGTAGGGGACACAGCTGGTGCATCGGCCACTCATCTCTGTCAGCCAACCCATGGCACCTGTTGGGTCTGTCCCGTGACCTCCTGCCAGCGGGCCTTTGACGCTTCACGTGGCCTCACAGTGCACCTAGCCTGGCACAGGTGCCGTGGTGACATCACCGCCACTTAGTGGCGAATGGTATAGCAGTGTGATTTTGTGTTGTGTGTTGTGCGTGCTCCACAAAAGACAAAGATCCCCCGTATAGCCTTAACAGACTGCAGGGGCAAGTGCTGTTAGCGAGCAGCACCTATGAATCCCGGCACGGCACACGAGGGGGTGGGTGGCCAGCACCACGCCCGGCCGCCTTTGTCTCCCCAGTGGCGATGTTTACTTCCGCTGTGGTGAGATGTTGACTACCTCGCCTGGTATACAGGAGGTCGTGGGTTCAATCCCGACCCTGACGATGCCTGCTGTATATTTGGAGTTTGCGTGTCTCTCTCTCCGTGGTGAGATGTTAACTACCTCGCCTGGTCTACAGGAGGTCGTGGGTTCGATCACAACCCTGACGATGCCTGCTGCTGTATATTTGGAGTTTGCGTCTCTCTCTCTCATCAGCATCACGATGCCTGCTGTATATTTGGAGTTTGCGTGTCTCTCTGTCCGTGGTGAGATGTTAACTACCTCGCCTGGTCTACAGGAGGTTCGTGGGTTCGATCCCGACCCTGACACCTGCTGTATATTTGTAGTTTGCGTGTCTCCGTGGTCACGTGGATTTTTCTCCCTTTCCACATTGAGAATCAACGTCACCGTGCATTTCGATTGTGTTTTGCTGCGGCTGTAAATGTCCCCACGATCGTGATGATGATGATTGATGATGATGGCGCCGCCACTTCGTCGTCCAGCTTTCATTTGTGCCGGCCAGGTTGTTTCTGAACAAGTGGGCCCTCAAACTCTTTGGTTCTATTCGGTAAAGTCACGTAGATAAAACATAAAATAACAAAAAATCACGACGTTTCGGCCACAACACAAGTGGCCTTCATCAGGTGAAGGGACTGGACTGTCCAGAGGACAGCGTTGGAGTGAAGACAGCCAAGCCCAGGTCGCGTCCTTTAAGCTGTGTGGGAGGAAGCAAAAATCGCCTTGACAAAGGAATAAGCATAACAATGATGTACTGGACCGGCATGGTGGGGGGGGGGGGGAGTTTACATAATGTTGGTGTGAAGGGAAATAAGCGGCTGTGAAAGTTTGGGATACCACTACTTGAATAAATATACTGTACCATTGAAAATTAGTTTAATGTTTGGTTTCATTCAGAACATCTTTCCAATGATTGCTTAATTTGAAGCCATCCTCCCGGTTGAAATTGTGTCTGTGTTTGTAAATCTGAATTGCCTCGTGGACTAAAATCTCTGATAAAAACCCGTGGGTTTGCAGAGAACCTTGGTATCGGAGAAAAACTATATCGTGATCGCCCACACGTCGTGATTTTTAGTTATTTTATTTTTTTACCTACGTGACTTTACCGAATAGAACCAAAGAGTCACGAAAGCTTCAAATCTAGAAGTGGGCCCTCACCTGGTGAAAGCAAAAAAAAAAGTCGCTTCTGTTTCAGTTTCACTGCGCACCGCAACCACTTGAGGCCGAGTCGACCTAGAGGCGAGACGGACGAGCTCGACCCCCTCACCACCACCACCACCCCTCCCCCCCTCCACTCCTCACCAGGCGAGGCCACGGTGGAGCGGTTCGATGTTCGGCGCGGGCGCTGGGCGACCGTGGGCGCGATGAGCGGCCGCCGCCTGCAGTTCGGCGTGGCGCTGGTGGAGGGCGCCCTGCTGGTGGTGGGTGGGCGTCACGGCCTCAAGACCCTCAACTCGGCCCAGGCGCTCTGCCTGAGCACGGGGGCCTGGACCCAGCTGCCGCCCATGGCCACGCACCGGCACGGCCTGGGTACGGCGCCTCCTCCGTCGCCCCTTCCGTTTGTTTCATTTTGTGCGCTTAGCGAAAAATTTTTTATTATTATTTTTTGTTTAAACATTGCATTTTTTTTCATAACGAAAAAACTTTTTTTTTTGACGAACCCACACACCTAGAGGGCTACGAACCCATAAACTTGGCTGACGAACCCATAAACTTGGCTGACGAACCCATAAACTTGGCTGACGAACCCATAAACTTGGCTGACGAACCCATAAACCTGGCTGACGAACCCATAAACTTGGCTGACGAACCCATAAATTTGGCTGACAAACCCATAAACTTGGCTGACGAACCCATAAGCTTGGCTGACGAACCCATAAACTTGGCTGACGAACCCATAAACTTGGCTGACAAACCCATAAACTTGGCTGACGAACCCATAAACTTGGCTGACGAACCCATAAACTTGGCTGACGAACCCATAAACTTGGCTGACGAACCCATAAACTTGGCTGACGAACCCATAAACTTGGCTGACGAACCCATAAACTTGGCTAACGAACCCATAAACTTGGCTGACGAACCCATTAACTTGGCTGACAAACCCATAAACCTGCTTACGAACCCATAAACTTGGCTGACGAACCCATAAACTTGGCTGACGAACCCATAAACTTGTCTGACGAACCCATAAACTTGGCTGACGAACCCATAAACCTGGCTGACAAACCCATAAACTTGGCTGACGAACCCATAAACTTGGCTTACAAACCCATAAACTTGGGGCCATCGGAGAATATCCACCCCATCTGTAGGACGGGCTGCCCTCCAGCCACAGTACACGTGTACCACACGCCCGTATCACACATACAGTACACGTACCGCACACTCGTATCGCACATACAGTACACGTGTACCGCACACAAGTATCACACATACAGTACACGTGTACCACACACCCGTATCACACATACAGTACACGTGTACCACACATAAGTATCACACATACAGTACACGTGTACCGCACACAAGTATCACACATACAGTACACGTGTACCACACACCCGTATCACACATACAGTACACGTGTACCGCACACTCGTATCGCACATACAGTACACGTGTACCGCACACAAGTATCACACATACAGTACACGTGTACCGCACACAAGTATCACACATACAGTACACGTGTACCACACACAAGTATCACACATACAGTACACGTACCGCACGCCCGTATTACACATACAGTACACGTGTACCACACACAAGTATCACACATACAGTACACGTGTCCCGCACACCCGTATTCTACATACAGTACACGTGTACCGCACACAAGTATAACACATACAGTACACGTGTACCACACACTCGTATCACACATACAGTACACGTGTACCGCACACCCGTATCACACATACAGTACACGTGTACCGCACACAAGTATCACACATACAGTACACGTGTACCACACACAAGTATCACACATACAGTACACGTGTACCACACACCCGCATTACACATACAGTACACGTGTACCACACACCTGTATTACACATACAGTACACGTGTACCACACACCTGTATTACACATACAGTACACGTGTACCGCACGCCCCTATCACACATACAGTACACGTACCGCACACTCGTATCGCACATACAGTACACGTGTACCGCACACAAGTATCACACATACAGTACAGGTGTACCGCACACCCGTATTACACATACAGTACGCGTGTACCACACACCCGTATCACACATACAGTACACGTGTACCGCACACAAGTATCACACATACAGTACACGTGTACCGCACACAAGTATCACACATACAGTACAGGTGTACCGCACACCCGTATTACACATACAGTACGCGTGTACCACACACCCGTATCACACATACAGTACACGTGTACCGCACACAAGTATCACACATACAGTACACGTGTACCGCACACCCGTATCACACATACAGTACACGTGTACCGCACACAAGTATCACACATACAGTACACGTGTACCGCACACAAGTATCACACATACAGTACACGTGTACCACACACCCGTATCACACATACAGTACACGTGTACCGCACACCCGTATCACACATACAGTACACGTGTACAGCACACAAGTATCACACATACAGTACACGTGTACCGCACACAAGTATTACACATACAGTACACGTGTACCACACACAAGTATCACACATACAGTACACGTGTACCGCACACAAGTATCACACATACAGTACACGTGTCGGCTCGGCACTCAAACGAGCAACCTGGTGCGGTGCGTAGCAAGCATCGCCACCGGGAGAGACAAAGGCGGCCGGGGCGTGGTCTCTGGCCACACCAACGCCTCGTGTAACCGTGCCGGTAGCCTTCACAGCTGCTGCTGCTGCTCGCTAACAGCACGTGCCCCAACAGTCTGTTACAGGCTACACGGGGGAGGGGGTGGGTGGATCTCTGTCCAACGTGCGTGCTCTCCTGCGCTGGGCAGTTCCTCGTGATTTAACTCCAGCGCTCGTCCTCCGGACACTCTCGTCCCTTCACCTGATGAAGGCCGCTTGTGTTGTGGCCGAAACGTCGTGATTTTTTTGTCATTTTATTTTCACCTACGTGACTTTACCCAATAGAACCAAAGAGTACGGTTCTTCGTGCTTTCGGAGTCCCTGACCTCTGCGCTCACGATCATTAAAAAGGGCCCCTCGTGATGGCGAGCAGGCCCTGGTGAAATCTACGCGGCCGGTTAGCCGGAGCCGTTCCCTGTTCACCTCGGCGGTCGCGAGAGGAGACATCCTTCGGCCCTTCGCTCTTTATCTGACATCGTCTTTGACCACGTCCGTCGTGAAAGCTTTCCAACAGTCTGTTACGGGCTGAAACGGGGAGCTCCTTGTGTGCGTGGCAGGGACGTGATGAACAAAAAAGCTGTTACGATTTTTTTAATTGTTTTTTTTTACATTTTCCCAACTCGTCCGCGTTGTAAATGTCATTTCTGTACGATTGCAATAATGTGTATGGTCAAAATCACCAAATTTGCGGAGCTCCGCCGCAAATACAGGGGGAGAGACGAGTGGTGAGGCAGCGACGAGCTCAGCCTCCCCTCTGATTGCGCAACCCCTCAGTAACCGGATGGAGCGCGGGCAATAGGCGCGTGTAACTGTTACTATCTCGGTATGTCACCAATGTAATGTTTGTAGACCCCTTAATTTCATTGTCCTCGCCTTCCATACACCAAGTAACTTATTTCACGTGTGTGTATAAAGATATTCAGGCTCGCTGGTCTCGTCGTGAAACTGCAATGAAAAAGCACCAGGGGAGGCAGCTATCACATCTGCCTCACTGAGGGGGACGTGTCTAACACGCCCCCCTCAGTGAGGCCACGCCCCCGTCAGTGAGGCCACGCCCCATCCGGGAGGCCACGCCCCCTCCCCCCGTGAGGCCACGCCCCCCCCCCTCAAGTGTGTGAATCTGGCTCTGACACGAACCAGTGCCTCCCCAGCCATTGACCTCACCGCACGTGACTGCCGTGTAGGGGTGGCGGTTCTGGGGGGCCCTCTGTACGCGGTGGGGGGCCACGACGGCTGGAGCTACCTGAGTTCGGTGGAGCGCTGGGACCCCCAGACGGGGCGCTGGAGCTTCGTGGCCCCGCTGGGGAGTGCACGCAGCACCGCGGGGGTCGCCGTGCTGCACGGGAAGTGAGCGGTGCAGTGAACACCACCACCACCACTACATCAACAACAACATCTACAACAACAACAACAGCAACAACAAGCTGTCCACTCAGCCACCAACTCACTCGCCCAACCACTCACCCACCCACTCACACACGCACCCACCCACCCACTCACCCACTCATCCACCCACTCACCCACTCACTCACCCACCCAACCAACCACTTACCCACCCACTAACTCACTCATTCATCCACCCACCCACTCACTCACCCACCCACCCAACCAACCAACCACTCACTCACCCACTAACTCACTCACCCACTCACCCACTCACCCACTCACTCACTCACCCACCCACCCACTAACTAACTCACTCACCCACTCACCCACTAACTAACTCACTCACCCACTCACCCACTAACTCACTCACCCACTCACCCACTCACTCACCCACCCACTCACTCACCCACCCACCCACTAACTAACTCACTCACCCACTCACCCACTAACTCACTCACCCACTCACCCACCCACTCCCCCACTAACTCACTCACCCACTCACTCACCCACCCACCCACTAACTAACTCACTCACCCACTAACTAACTCACTCACCCACTCACCCACTAACTCACTCACCCACCCACTCACCCACCCAGTCCCCCACTAACTCACTCACCCACTCACCCACCCACTCCCCCACTAACTAACTCACCCACTAACTCACTCACCCATTCACCCACTAACTCACTCACCCACTCACCCACCCACTCCCCCACTAACTAACTCACCCACTCACCCACTCACTCACTCACCCACCCACCCACTAACTAACTCACTCACCCACTCACTCACTCACCCACCCACCCACTAACTAACTCACTCACCCACTCCCCCACTAACTAACTCACCCACTAACTCACTCACCCACTCACCCACCCACTCACCCACCCACCTACCCCCCCACCCACCCCATGATGCCCGCGCAGGCTGTTCGCTGTGGGCGGGCGAGACGGCGCCTCGTGCCTGCGCTCGGTCGAGAGCTACGACCCCCACGCCGACCGCTGGAGCCCCCGGGCCCCGCTGAGCGTGGACCGTGGCGGGCCCGGAGTGGCCGCGTGCCACGGCCGCCTCTACGCCGTGGGGGGCCACAACAGCCCCACGGCCAGCCACGGGGCACGCATCCTCGACTGTGTCGAGAGGTGCGCGGGGTGGGGGGGGGAGGTGGGGGAGGTGGGGGGGAGAGATGGGGGAGGTGGGGGGGGAGAGATGGGGAGGGAGGGAGGTGGGGGGGGAGGATGGGGGGGAGGGATGGGGGAGGTGGGGGAGGGATGGGGAGGTGGGGGATGGGGGGAGAGATGGGGGAGGTGGGGGGAGAGATGGGGAGGGAGGGAGGTGGGGGGAGAGATGGGGGAGGTGGGGGATGGGGGGAGAGATGGGGGAGGTGGGGGGAGAGATGGGGAGGGAGGTGGGGGGAGAGTTGGGGGAGGTGGGGGGGGGGAGAGACGTGTGGGGGGGAGAGACGGGGGAGGTGGGGGGAGAGATAAGGGAGGTGGGGGGAGAGGTTGGCTACGTACGGTGTGAAAGAAGGTGAACATACACACCCCTCCCCCCCACCCGTGTCGCTCGCTGCCCACTCCCCCTGCACCCCCCCATGTTCACCCCCCCCTCCCCCCCCCCCCCCCCTCCCCCCCGTGGCCCCTCCCCCGTCCCCCAGGTACGACCCCCAGACGGACTCGTGGAGCCGCGTGTCCCCGCTGGGCGTGCCGCGTGACGCCGTGGGCGCCTGCGTGCTGGGGCACCGCCTCTACGCCGTGGGCGGACACGACGGAGCCTCGGCGGTGCGCCGCGTGCAGGCCTACGAGGCCCTGGCGGACACCTGGGTCGAGGTGTGTGTCACTGTGTGTGTGTCTGTGTGTGTGTGTCTGTGTGTCTGTGTGTCTGTGTGTCACTGTGTGTGTGTGTGTGTCTGTGTGTGTGTGTGTCTGTGTCTGTGTGTGTGTCTGTGTGTGTCAGTGTGTGTGTGTGTGTCTGTGTGTGTCAGTGTGTCTGTGTGTGTCTGTGTGTGTGTCACTGTGTGTGTGTCACTGTGTGTGTGTGTCTGTGTGTGTCTGTGTGTGTGTGTGTGTCTGTGTGTGTGTCTGTGTCTGTGTGTGTGTCTGTGTGTGTCAGTGTGTGTGTGTGTGTCTGTGTGTGTCAGTGTGTCTGTGTGTGTCAGTGTGTGTGTGTGTCTGTGTGTGTGTGTGTCTGTGTGGTGTGTGTCAGTGTGTGTGTCTGTGTGTGTGTGTCTGTGTGTGTGTGTCTGTGTGTGTGTGTGTCTGTGTGTGTGTGTGTGTCTGTGTGTGTGTCTGTGTGTGTGTGTCTGTGTGGTGTGTGTCAGTGTGTGTGTCTGTGTGTGTGTGTCTGTGTGTGTGTGTCTGTGTGTGTGTCTGTGTGTGTGTGTGTCTTCGTGCTTTTGGAGTACCTGACCCTCTGCTCACGATCATTAAGGACCTTCATGATGGTGAGCGGGCCCGGGTAAAACTACGTGGCCGGGAGTCAGAGCCATTCCCTGTACACCTTGGGGTGCGACAGGGATGTCCTCTGGCTCCCACATTATTGAACATCTATTTTGACCACGTAGTTCGTGAAGCCTTCAATAGCTGTACCGGGGGAATCTCCATTTGGTACAGATATAATGAGAGGCTGATCGATGCCCAGGTGCGGTCAAGGGACGGCTCCCTATTGCTCAACCACGTTATGTATGCTGATGATTTGGTAATAGCTGCTCATTCAGAGGAGGAGTTGGAGACGCTGCTGCTGAGACTGGAGCGTGCCACTAAGAGATGGGGCCTTACCATCAGCCCCACCAAAACTAAGCACCTGCCTGGGTCTTTTGTACCATCGGACACTCCACCCCCACAACTCCCAGTCGGTGATGGGGCAGCTGTGGAGAGAGTGGAGAGTTTCCCATACCTGGGCAGTGTGCTTATGACCGGCTCCAGTTTAACAGCAGAGGTCTCACTCCAAATCAGTCGAGCGGCAATATCTTTCCATCGGTTGCGTAACACTGTGTGGAAGCTACCTGGTCTGTCGCTCCGCACGAAGCTTCAAGTCTTCTCGGCCACGGTCATTCCCTCCATTCTCTACGCTTGCGAAACGTGGACCCCCCTAATGGAGCATCTTAGCCGGTTAGAAACATTTAGGTTGGTCCTGCCTACAATCCATCCTGGGTTTAACCAGGCTGGATTGTGTGAGAAGCTCACAAATCCTTGAAAGATCTGGACAAAGTCCCATTGGTGAGCCCCTCCGGCAAGTAAGGCTGCGTTGGCTGGGTCATGTAGCCCGCATGCCCAGCCACCGTATGCCGAAACAGCTTTTGTTTGGCCGGATCGAGGGGGCTAATCGGGTGCGGCACGGGCTAGAGAAGAGATGGAGTGATGTGGTACAGGAGGACGTGGAGCTGAGTGGACTTGCCGATGACTGGTACCAGCGGTGTCAAGATCGGCCTCTGTGGAGGAGGCTCGTGAAGGACGCTACTGGGCAGTTGGAGGCAGTCGCCCTCCAACAACAACGGAGGGTGGAGGAGCGACGCTCGCAACAACGAGCGGAGCACCGGGTGGCTAAAGCACAGCAGGTTGGCACAGTAGGGGGCACAGGTGGTGCATCAGCCAGTCATCTCAGTCATCTCAGTCAGTCGACCCGTGGCACCTGCTGGGTCTGCCCTGAGACTGGGCCTCAACGTGCACCTATCCTGGCACACGCGCCGTGGTGATGTCACCGCCACTTTGTCGCGAATGGCAGTTGTTGTTGTTGTTGTACCAGGCGCGTGTGTGTGTGTACCACTGGGGAGACAAAGGCGGCCCTGCGTGGTGCTGGCAACTCACCTCGTGTGCCGTGCCGGCATTCACAGGTGCTGCTCGCCAACAGCACTTGCCCCGACGTTCTGCAAAGGCTACACGGGGGATCTTTGTCTTTGTGTGCCAGGTGCCTTCCATGTGTTCACCACGAGCCGGGGCCTGTGTGGTCGTGGTGAAGTCCACGTGAAGAGGCAGACCAACTCACCACCCCTCCTCACCACCCCTCCTCACCACCACTCCTCACCACCTCCTCACCAGCGCTCCTCACCAGCGCTCCTCACCACCTCCTCACCACCGCTCCTCACCACCCCTCCTCACCAGCGCTCCTCACCACCGCTCTTCACCATCCCTCCTCACCACTCCTCCTCACCACCGCTCCTCACCACCCCTCCTCACCACTCCTCCTCACCACCGCTCCTCACCATCCCTCCTCACCACTCCTCCTCACCACCGCTCCTCACCACCCCTCCTCACCACTCCTCCTCACCACCGCTCCTCACCATCCCTCCTCACCACCCCTCCTCACCACCGCTCCTCACCACCCCTCCTCACCAGCGCTCCCCCTCACCCGAGTTCGATTCCCGCTCACGGACACCCAAACCCAGTCGCGATTTTCTGAACCGGTCCTGGGCCTCCCCTAGGTCGACTCAGCCACAAACAAGTACCTCGTGTGATGTCGCCACTGGGGAGACAAAGGCGGCCGGGCGTGGTGCTGTGGCCACCCACCCACTGGCCTTCATCAGCGCTGCTGCTCGCTAACAGCACTTGCCCCAACAGTCTGTTGAAGGCTATACGGGGGCTCTTTGTCTGTGTGCGAGGAGCGGTAGTGCAGTAGTTTGCACACTGCGCTCCGACCTCCATGACCCGAGTTTGATTCCCGCTGTATGGGTCTCTATCTGGGTCTATATGCAGATCTGTGGGTCTCTATGTGAGTCTATGGGTCTCTATGTAGTCTGTGGGTCTCTGTGTGAGTCTATGGGTCTCTATCTGGGTCTATGGGTCTCTATGTGAGTCTACGGGTCTCTATGTGAGTCTACGGGTCTCTGTGTGATTCTACGGGTCTCTATCTGGGTCTATGGGTCTCTGTGTGCGTCTACGGGTGTCTATGTAAGTCTGTGGGTTTCTGTGTGAGTCTATGGGTCTCTATGTGAGTCTATGGGTCTCTATCTGGGTCTATGGGTCTCTGTGTGCGTCTACGGGTCTCTATGTAAGTCTATGGGTCTCTGTGTGAGTCTATGGGTCTCTGTGTGAGTCTATGGTTCTCTATCTGGGTCTATGGGTCTCTATGTGAGTCTACGGGTCTCTATGTGAGTCTATGGGTCTCTGTGTGCATCTACGGGTCTCTATGTAAGTCTGTGGGTCTCTGTGTGAGGCTATGGGCCTCTGTGTGAGTCTTCGGATCTCTGCGTGAGTCTATGGGTCTCTATGTGAGTCTATGGGTCTCTATGTAAGTCTACGGGTCTCGGTGTGAGTCTACGGGTCTCTATGTAAGTCTGTGGGTCTCTCGTGTTATTCCTGTTGGAAGCCATTTTGTTTGTTGACCGCCATCTTGGAAAATTAACGCTTAGCATTAAGATGGTTTTAGTGCATTTCCCATGGACGCCACGGTTCTTACAGTGCAGCAGTTTCTCTCGCAATAAACCAGGTGTTCTATGGTCCTCTGTGTGCGTCTAACCACGTGGTTCAACGCCAAGGTCGGGTGAGACACTTGTCTGGCGACGGAGGCTGCGCGGAACTTCTGCTTATTCGAATCGCTTCCTGGCATGCGGAGTGAACCGTCGGGCAACTTTGCTTCCTCCAAACCATCGAGAGGGCTTTAGAGAGCGAGATGAGAGAGACACGGAGCCAGCCACTGGAGATTATTCGCGTAGCCAGTGATCGTCGAGCAAGCTTGAAGTTCTCGCTGTGTGCGTGCGTGGGAGCGATTCCCAGTTGGGTTATAGGCGATGCAAAGGCTTCGGCACTGGGACATGCTAACCCAGGCGTGGGCAAATGTTTTGACTCGCGGGCCACAATGGGTTCTAAAATTTGACAAGAGGGGCCGGGCCAGGAACCAGATGGACGGAGTGTCTGTGTGAACTAAATATAAATGTACGTGTTAAAAATCATGACGTGAAAGGATTTGGCCTTTATAACAGGTGGCAAAGCGTTTATCTGCAAGGCAATTTGAACAAATTGCACGAACGTGAACGATGCAAAAAAACACGTCGTAGCGTGACTGATCAAACATCATGGAAACATCTGAGCCCTATACACCACACTCCCGGTCAAAGTGCGCCGTCTAATGGGGAAATTGGGGCATTACAGGAGAAAGGTGAAATTTAATTTAATTTAATAATAATATTTGGACAAGTTCGACGGGCCGGATTAAAAAGCCCAACGGGCTGTACTTTGCTCACGTCTCGTGTAGCGTATAGTGTATAGTGTAGTGTGTAGTGTAGTGTATAGTGTAGTGTATAGTGTAGTGTATAGTGTAGCGTGTAGTGTATAGTGTAGTGTATAGTGCAGTGTATACGGCCCGGGGGCCCGTACTTTGCCCACGTCTCGTGTAGCGTGTAGTGTAGTGTGTATGGTGTAGTGTATACGGCCCGGGGGCCCGTACTTTGCCCACGTCCGTGCTAACCAACACCAACGGCAGTGTGTGTCGTCACTTTATTTACTGATTCCGCCGATCGGTCGACTAACCGCGGTGTTGTGTGCCAAGTGGCGCGCGTTTGGGCGAGCCCTCGTTTGAACGCGTGGGCGGCGCGTTGAACGGCGAAAAAGATTCCCCGCCCCTCCCGCCCCCCGCCCCCCGCCCCCCATGAAAGATGCAGTCACGGTGAAGGTTGGCGAGCTACGGAGTCATGGCTACTGCCGCCACTGCCTTCGCACCCCCACGGCAAAGGCACAAATAGCGGGGGGGGGGGGGGGGTAACGGCAACGCGGCGTTGACGCCGTACCGTTCCGCATCGCCGTATCCCACCGCGCCGCTCGGCCGCGAGGCTCACGCATTCATAACAGCTCGTGTCCCGCGTCATAGCAGCTCGTGTTCCGCGTCATAACAGCTCGTGTTCCGCGTCATAACAGCTCGTGATCCGCGTCATAACAGCTCGTGTTCCGCGTCATAACAGCTCGTGTTCCGTGTCATAACAGCTCGTGTTCCGCGTCATAACAGCTCGTGTTCCGCGTCATAACAGCTCGTGTTCTTTGTCATAACAGCTCGTGTTCCGCGTCATAACAGCTCGTGATCCGCGTCATAACAGCTCGTGTTCCGTGTTATAACAGCTCTGTGTTCCGCGTCATAACAGCTCGTGTTCCGCGTCATAACAGCTCGTGTCCCGCGTCATAACAGCTCGTGTTCCGCGTCATAACAGCTCGTGTTCCGCGTCATAACGGCTCTGTGTTCCGCGTCATAACAGCTCGTGTTCCGCGTCATAACAGCTCGTGTTCCGCGTCATAACAGCTCTGTGTCCCGCGTCATAACAGCTCGTGTTCCGCGTCATAACAGCTCGTGTTCCGTGTTATAACGGCTCTGTGTTCCGCGTCATAACAGCTCGTGTTCCGTGTCATAACAGCTCTGTGTCCCGTGTCATAACGGCTCGTGTTCCGTGTCATAACAGCTCGTGTCCCGCGTCATAACAACTCGTGTCCCGCGTCATAACAGCTCGTGTCCCGCGTCATAACAGCTCGTGTTCCGCGTCATAACAGATCGTGTTCCGTGTCATAACAGCTCGTGTCCCGCGTCATAACAGCTCGTGTTCCGCGTCATAACAGCTCGTGTTCCGCGTCATAACAGCTCGTGTCCCGCGTCATAACAGCTCGTGTTCCGCGTCATAACAGCTCGTGTTCCGCGTTATAACAGCTCGTGTCCCGCGTCATAACGGCTCTGTGTTCCGCGTCATAACAGCTCGTGTTCCTTGTCATAACAGCTCTGTGTCCCGTGTCATAACAGCTCGTGTTCCGCGTCATAACAACTCGTGTCCCGCGTCATACCAACTCGTGTCCCGCGTCATAACAGCTCGTGTTCCGCGTCATAACAGATCGTGTTCCACGTCATAACAGCTCGTGTTCCGCGTTATAACAGCTCTGTGTTCCGCGTCATAACAGCTCGTGTTCCGCGTCATAACAGCTCGTGTTCCGCGTCATAACAGATCGTGTTCCGCGTCATAACAGCTCGTGTTCCGCGTCATAACAGCTCGTGTTCCGCGTCACAACACCTCGTGTTCCGCGTCATAACAGCTCGTGTTCTGCGTCATAACAGCTCGTGTTCTGCGTTATAACAGCTCGTGTTCCGCGTCATAACAGCTCGTGTTCCGCGTCATAACAGCTCGTGTTCTGCGTCATAACAGCTCGTGTTCCGCGTCATAACAGCTCGTGTTCCGCGTCATAACAGCTCGTGTTCCGCGTTATAACAGCTCGTGTTCCGCGTCATAACAGCTCGTGTCCCGCGTCATAACAGCTCGTGTTCCGCGTTATAACAGCTCGTGTTCCGCGTCATAACGGCTCGTGTTCCGTGTTATAACAGCTCGTGTTCCGTGTTATAACAGCTCGTGTTCCGCGTCATAACAGCTCGTGTTCTGTGTCATAACAGCTCGTGTTCCACGTCATAACAGCTCGTGTTCTGTGTCATAACAGCTCGTGTTCCGCGTCATAACAGCTCGTGTTCTGTGTCATAACAGCTCGTGTTCTGTGTCATAACAGCTCGTGTTCCGCGTCATAACAGCTCGTGTTCCGTGTTATAACAGCTCGTGTTCTGCGTCATAACAGCTCGTGTCCTGCGTCATACCAGCTCGTGTCCCGCGTCATAACAGCTCGTGTTCCGCGTCATAACGCCTCGTGTTCCGCGTCATAACGGTGTGGGCGGTCCGCAAAAAGTGTTCCCGAATGTAACAACGGCATTGCAGTGCGCGCTAAGCGAGGACTGCCCGTACGTACGTACGTTTGTCTGCGCTCCCGTTGAACGAAGAAACATCGCAATAAATCATCCGATAAAACATGTCATCCCAGTTGCTCGTTCCTGCCCTGCACGCGTGCGACCCGAGTTCGATACCCGAGTTCGATACCCGAGTTCGATACCCGAGTTCGATACCTGAGTTCGATACCCGAGTTCGATACCCGAGTTTGATACCTGAGTTCGATACCCGAGTTCGATACCCGAGTTCGATACCCGAGTTCGATACCCGAGTTCGATACCCGAGTTCGATACCCGAGTTCGATACCCGAGTTCGATACCCGAGTTCGATACCCGAGTTCGATACCCGAGTTCGTT